AACCCTAAACCCTAAACCCTAAACTCGAAACCCTAAGCCCTAAAGCCTAAACCCTAAACCCCTACAGCTGGGAGGTGGCTGCCCAGAAAAGTGCTCCTTCAATCTTTGGGGCCTTGCGAGCCAAGCGGGGGGGAGGGGGGGGCAAACAACGGCCATAGATGGATGCCGTACATCTATAGCCAACCAATGCAACTGACATGGGCCTCGGGACAAAAACCCCAACACCTGCTCGCAACACGTGAGCGCAAGCACCCATACCGTATCGTTTTGAGTTTGTCTGCTCTACGAGATGAGTTTGAGCAAAACTACGACTTAAACGCCTCTTCGATCTTAACTCCGACCGAAAAACCCTAAACCCTACACCCTACACCCTAATTAAACCCAAAGCCCTAAACCCTAAGACCCAAAACCCTAAACCCTAAACCCTACAACAATTTTTGGGCTTGCCGTGACTTCTTGCTACTCTTTCTTCACGTGCATGGAGCAGCGAGCTGACCCGTTCACTCAGCATTGCTGTGTGAACAGGGTTTAGGGTTTAGGGTTTAGGGTTTAGGGTTTAGGGTGATAACACTCTGGCGTGGAACATCGGAGGAGAAGGTTCCGCAGGAGTCCTCTGCAGACCTGAGCGAACCGTTGGAAGGGACCTGCCTGTTGTTTGTGCTGATGTTTGCCTGAGTCGAAGGTGTGTCTGTTGGTGTCTCTTCCCTGGTGCAATTCTGAGCATAACCCTAAGCCCTAAGCCCTAAACTCTAAACCCTAAACCCTAAACCGTAAACCCTCAACCCTAAACCCTTAGCATCCCTGATAGTCTTCATGGCAGGCAAGAGCCGAACGGCTGCGCATCAAATACGAAGATCGACGTGCCAAGCGACGTCAAGGGATACGGAGAAGATAGCACGCTGAGAGCATCTATAGCTTTTGGTGCTTTCTGCAATCGCATTTATTTTGAATGCAGGCTCATGTGACAAGCTCTTTATACGTTTTGCGCGGATTCGATCAGACGTCAACGATGTTGATGTCTTTTTCCGACCCATTCGCAGCCATGCCTAAGCAACGACTTGTCGTATTGAGATGGGAGCCGCTTAGCGAGTCTAGCGTTTCATGAACCCTAAACCCTAAACCCTAAACCCTAAATCCTAAACCCTGAACCCTAAACCCTAAACCCTAAACCCTAAACTAGGGAAGGGTAAGATGAAACAAAATATGGCCATGGCTTGGTTGCGAGTTTTACACTAACTTGTGACTCTTCAGGAAGCACTGCAGAGCGAACACCGACTTAGGGTTTAGGGTTTAGGGTTTAGGGTTTGCGGTTTAGGGTTTAGGGTTTAGGGTTTAGGGTTTAGGGTTTAGGGTTTAGGGTTTACGGGGTGTCGGGGTAACGCCGTGTCATCGTTTAGGGTCGAGAATCTTTAGGGCTTTCCGGGATTCCGCATATCAGTTGGTGTTTTCACGCACTGAGTGCCTGTGAGAAGCTACCGCGTATCCTGCGAATCCATAGTGCGTTGATGAATCGCCTGCCTTTCTGATAAACCAAGTGCGGGCTTCCCCCATGCGCTGACAAGTTGAACAAGGCAAGGACAACCCTAACCCTAAACCCTAAACCCTAAACCCTAAACCAGCAAGTGTGAGACCCTTGGTTGTCAGTTGAGTGAGGCATGCTGTGCCAGAACGTTTGTCTGCTGGAGTCGGCAGAAGCTGCTGCAAAGTACTGGACGTCTTCTGAGGCCTCAACCCTAAACCCTAAACCCTAAACCCTAAACCCTAAACCCTAAAACTATTATAATGCAGGGCGTGAAGAGAATACACTTTCATTATATTATTTTGTGAGGGGGCCTTTGTCTCTTCTTTTGCCCCCTTAATACTAATAAAGTGTAGTGAATGTGTGAATAAGAGAATGAATGAGCCTGCGAATGAATGAACGCAGTGAACACAAGAACGGAACAAGAGAGCACACAAACCCTATTAAAAGTAGTAAATTACAAGGACACGCGTGAATTTACTATCTTAATTGGGGATTTTGGCGAACGAAACCCACGCTCTGTTAAATCCTGGAATTCACGTGTCACCTCTTTTGACTTTTGGTCTTCGAATTCACCTTCATGATGAAGATATGATTGTGGTTTCTTCACTCTGTTTTCTTTTCATGTTCTCCACACCGTTATCTCCTTCACTGGCGGTTACATTAAAAGCATGAACGAATGAACGTAACGAGTGAAGTGAATGAAATACACGCGCCATTATAATTATAAGAAGTGTAACGACGCATGAATATAATGCAAGCGCGTGCATGAATTTCACGAACGCCTAAACCCTAAACCCTAAACACCCCAGGATCCCGAATCCTGGGGCCTCTGCCCTCCAAGCGAATCTTGTCGGTCTCAGCCAGAGACGAGCGATCTGCTTCAGCCCGTATTGGGTTTCTGCCGTGCGCCCAGCCCACGCAACGCAACTGGGTTGAGGGTTTAGGGTTTAGTGTTTAGGGTTTAGGGTTTAGGGTTCCATGCTTCATTACAGTAAGCCTCAACAAGTTGGAAACCTTTTTAAGGACAAACAGTGCCGGGATTCCCCATACTTTACTCTTAGGAATTGAGGCTGCTGAGTTTCCAACTTTTTGGCTTCTAGTATACTCAATGGGGGTTCGGGTTGAGACCGCTGGATAGGCCGCTTGGTTTCAATCAGGGTGTCGCCTTGTTGTTAGCAACGCCCCGTGCGCCTCTTATCTTCTACTATTTCCTTAAGACCCCCGCCCCCCTCCCCCCCCCCAAAAAAAAAGAGAGATACTCATCCCTATATTGCCCTTGTGAGGAAGAACATCCTTGGCAAGTAGTGGGATTAGAGCCTTTCGCAGCCCGGAGCGTTGGGAGATGTGCCTTTCGGCAGAAACGCGAGCCTTACGGCTACAACGTTTAGTCGTCGGACTGCCCTCGCATTGCTCCCAGTTTTTGGGTGAGAGCTTTCGAAGAGCAGCTCAAAGGCTTCACCAGTTCTGGGGTCCTTTAAGGAGGCGGAGGGGGGGCGGTTAAACCCCAAAAACCCCAAACCCTAAACCCTAATTCCTAAACCCTAAACCTGAAACCCCTTCAAGAAGCCCCCCCTCCCGAAGGACCCTCTAGCACAAGCCCAGGCTATTCTTGCTGTTGAGGGGTCGGCTGTTCGCGCAGAAAGCTGAAGGTCGGCTTGCGTGCTGCGCTCCTCCTGGCTGCAGTGCTGGGCACTGCGTATGCAGCACGTGTGGGTTGCTCTACACTCTGAACCCTACATGGGTATTTATCCCAAAAAAAGGGGCACCCCTTGTATACCTAAAAACCCTAAACCCTAAACCCTAAACCCTAAACCCTAAACCCTAAACCCTAAACCCTAAACCCTAAACCCTAAACCGTAAACCCCTGCACCCTAAACTGCTAAGAAAGGGCTGAGCAACCCCCACGCAAAGCTGGCGGCCATGACCTCTAGGACAGTTGGAAGGCATGCGCTGCCTGCAAAGAGGTCATGGCTTGCCAGGCCCAAACCGCAAACCCCAAACCCCAAACCCCAAACCCCAAACCCCAAACCCCAAACCCCAAACCCCAAACCCCAAACCCCAAACCCCAAACCCCAAACCCCAAACCCAAACCCCAAACCCTAAACCCTAAGCCCTAAGCCCGAAGCCCTAAACCCTACCTGAAAGGGGGGTGATGAAACAGTGCCACCCTCTTCAATACCATGTAGCTGAGCCGCCTGCGAGCCGACTGCGCCACCTCAATGGTTTTGGTTCTGGATTTAGGGGTTTAGGGTTTGGGGTTTGGGGTTTAGGGGGTTTAAGGTTTGGGGTTTGGGGTTTGGGGTTTAGGGTTTAGGGTTTGGGGTTTGGGGTTTAGGGTTTAGGGTTTGGGGTTTGGGGTTTAGGGTTTGGGGTTTAGAGGTTTGGGCTGGCTCTCAGGATGCAGCTTGAGGAGTGGTTCAGGGTTCCCCGCCGTGCGGTTCCAAAATCCTTGTCATGCTTTCAGGGCATCTGGAGGGGTTTACGACAACAGGGTTTAGGGTTTAGGGTTTAGGGTTTAGGGTTTAGGGTTTAGGGTTTCAATATAGATCCCCAAATAGTAGGAAACCCCTTATAGTCAGGACCCCAATAAGGTACCCCTACTATCGGAAACCCCCCACTTCGGTTGTTTCGGTATGGGTTTAGGGTTTAGGGTTTAGGGTTTCGGGTTTAGGGTTTAGGGTTTAGGGGTTTAGGGTTTAGGGTTTAGGGTTCAGCGCTGAGGAGCTAGGGATGTGGGGGGGGTGTGGCCAGAACTTTTTGAGGCTCGCGGGGCGCAACCAGCTCTCGGCCGAGGGACGAGGTTTGTGCGAGACGGCTGTGTCCTCTGCACCCTAAACCCTAAACCCTAAACCCTAAACCCTGAACCCTGAACCCTAAACCCTAAACTGTTGCACCGCGGACCTCCATATGCTATCTTCGGCCTCAATGAAGCAACCACGTCCCTGGCAGATTCAACAGATCTTTGGTGTGGTTGTGTGTGTGTCTGCCCATGCACAGGTTGAACCCTGTGGCATTTCAGAACTTTGAAGAGGAGAATCTGTGCAGGAAGAAGCTGTCGCGACAAGCGACCCGAGGGCCCAGACGTGCCATGGAAACTCTTGAATATTCCGAGGGTTTAGGAGTTAGTAGGTCCCGCATCCTCAATTGCTGTAAGGGTCGTGCGTGACGGGTCTGCATGGGATCCGACCCCGGCACGCCGTGAGTGCCGCATGTGTGACAAAAAACTGTGCCCTGCCCTTGTCCGAGCAGTTCAGCATCTTGCCATGCACCGGATCTCTGGCAACCCGAAACTTCGCAAACCATAAGCCCTACACGAAACCCCTGAAACAGCCCTTCAAACCCGAACCTCTAGATGGACATACTTTGTGGTACTTTACTGTAGCTTTAGATCCTTACCTTTTTTGGGTTTATTGGGTTTCTTAGTAAGGCAGCTAAAAGTTTAATTTATAGCTACCCTCCTGAGTGCAGCCAAGCTTAGGTCGATGCGCTTCCACAGCCTTACAGGGCCAAAGAGTTTGGAGACGCTTCAGGAGATAGAGCACATCACGAGGCCTTTTGCGGCCACATGGCCACATGTGCAGCAGTTTCCACGGTACGTAGTTCTCGAAGGTATAGGGTTCCTTAAAGCAAAAGGGACCATCGTGTAGAGGAGTTTACCTAAAGCTATATCTACATCTGTATCTATCTCTGCTTATATACATACGTATATATATATATATGTATATATATATATATAGATGTATAAAATGTAACATTATGTATATGACAGCATGTAGTTGCAGATTCCAGACTACAGAGTATAGATTAGATCAAAGAATATACTGCGCATCATCGTTTGCCCTATCTATTTTAATCCCAACATCTGATCAGCTCTTAACATGATGGTCCCTTCTTGGGTACCCTAAAATAAGAGCGCCTTGTTCTAAGGACCCGAAGGGAATTTCTTTTAGGGAAGTGACCATATGGGGTTCCTCGAATTTAGGGCTACCTTCTTGGGGTCCTTATAAGGGAATCCTACGATTTGGGGATCTATACTAGGGCCACCTGATTTTCGTCAAGCCCCATATGATCTTGGTAGGATATTCTCCCGCAAGCTGCGAAAGAGGTGGCAAGAGAATCGGGAGAAGCTGCGAGGTCCTCTGGAGGAGGAGATGATGAAGTTTTGAAGCCCCTGAGGGGTGGAGGTTCATGCAATACTTCTAAGTAGGGTTCTGAGTAAAGTAACTATGATTCGAACCTTCTTCAGGGTACTTTAGAACCCTACTTATAAGTATCCATGAACCTTCAAGTGGGGGTGGAGAGGTCCAGCGGGGATTGGGTTTGCTTGAGCGCAGCTTTGCCCAGACAAGTGCTATGGGGGTGACCCTTCGTGCATCCATGGTTCGTCATCTACGTATGAAGTCATAGGGCTGTAGCCACTAAAGCTCGTAGCCTCCCAAACCCAGGCCCTTCTTCCCTCTGCACCCTAGACCCTAAACCCTAAACCCTAGACCCTAGACCCTAAACCCTAAACCCTCAACCCTAAGCCGTAGGGTTTAGTAAACCCTAAACCCTAAACCCTAAACCCTAAACCCTAAACCCTAAACCCTAAACCCTAAACCCTAAACCCTAAACCCTAAACCCTAAACCCTAAACCCTAAACCCTAAACCCTAAACCCTAAACCCTAAACCCTAAACCCATAAACCCTAAACCCTAAACCCTAAACCCTAAACCCTAAACCCTAAACCCTAAACCCTAAACCCTAAACCCTAAACCCTAAACCCTAAACCCTAAACCCTAAACCCTAAACCCTAAACCCTAAACCCTAAACCCTAAACCCTAAACCCTAAACCCTAAACCCTAGCCGCCTGGGAGGGCACGGGGGGCTCAGGACTTGATCAAAGGCTCCACATTGAAGTTGAGCTTCTGGGCCGTGGCAGAGGCACGTGGCTCGGCTCCCAAGACGACTTTGTTTTGGTTGTTGGTGGTTTTGCGGGCGTTCGTGCCTTTTTGCTCATGCTCTGATTTGCCCTAAATCCGAAACCCTAAACCCTAAACCCTAAACCCTAAACCAGGTTATCTTCCCGCGTCCAAGATGGAACGCCGTGCTGATCGACTACTCATCGAGTCAGCTTTTGACTTGCGAACAGGTAGGGGTTTCAGGGTTCCAGGGTTCCAGGGTTTAGGGTTTAGGGTTTAGGGTGTCTAATGTTGGCAGTGGAGTTCGCATTGCTCTGACCTGAAAAGCTCGTTTTGGCAGATGTGCTTTGGGATGTTCCCCCGTGTACTAGCAGGCCCTGGTAGGGATTATCATAGGGGGTTGCGATAATCCCTATGAAGGGCTGTTAGTATAAGGGGGAACCTCCCAAGATGTGCTTCAGGTGCATGTGCACCCTAAACCCTAAACCGTAAACCCTAAACCCTAAACCCTCAACCCTAAACGCTCTTGTCGTGCAAGAGCGTCGCAGGTATAGCATCGGAGTTCACTGTGTCCGAGCTCGAGACCCTGACGCGAGAAGTTTCGGAGCGATTCGAGGATCTAGACGAATGAGGCTGCGAGTCCTAAACCCTAAGGCCCTAGACCCTAGACCCTAAACCCCAAACCCCAAACCCATTTGCTGGGTTTTTGTTCGATGCGCATCCTCACCTCGCCAGATAGCAATATCTGGAGAACTCTTGAATGCCACCTGCGCGTGGATACTTGTCAGTAAGGTTGCAAGTACTCTGAATAGCCATACTTGCATTACTTATCACCCGACTTATGAGCACCCTAAGCCCTAAACCCTAAACCCTAAACCCTAAACCCTAAACCCTAAACCCTAGACCCTACACCCTAAACCCCAAACCCTAAACCCTAAACCTCCAAGCAGCCGCCTCGACACCTGCTGCACCTGCTCATGCTTCAGCGAATCTTTTCCTGCCTCTGTGAAGATGTAGCGATGCAATATGCAGCCGCTCCCATGGGCCAGATTTGGCAACCAAAAGACAGCGACCGGTCTAGGGTTTAGAGTTTCGGGGTTAGGGTTTAGGGTTTAAGGTTTAGGGTTTAGGGGTTAGGGTTTAGGGTAAGTTTGATTGTGCTCTTCAATGTAAGGATGTAGTGGCACGAGTGGCTTTGGCATAGCTTGAGGATGTTCTGAAAGGCGAGGTCTGCCAGGAGCATTAGAAACTAGTCGTCCCGGCTCGAGGTGTAGGGCTTGAACAACCGCACCTTGAGCGTAGACTCCTAAACCCTAAACCCTTGACCCTAAACTCCCGCAGGAGTTGGGGTTGCAGGGTTGCTGGTCTCTGGGCTTTCGTCACGCATGGGCCGAAGATGTCTGGGTTGCAGTCGAAACTTGAAGTTACGGCGAACTCCGGAATTTTCTGGCACCCAAAGCCACCCCCCCCTCGTACAAAGGTCCAAAATATAAAGCACGAGCCCGTCATTCCTCAGCCTTGAACCCTAAACCCTGAGCCCGGTGGCTTCAACTCAGCTGTGGATGAAGGCAACTCGCGCCGTGCTTGCCTTCCTGGCAAAACGCCCAGTTCCCAGAGCCCACCGTTCGTATGAATCTGGGAGCGTTTTCGCCTGTTCAGCCCACACTATGTAAACATTAAGAATCCTATTCGTTTTATCAACGTTGTAAATGCATTGATGATGCTTGGAGGGTCATGGGCAAACACGTACAAGTAGGGTTAGAAGTCGGGGAGCTATGGTGCTAACCTCATTCGGGTCGCTCTAGCCCTACTTCTAAGTACTCGTGAAACCTTCAAGTAGGAAACAAACCCTAAACCCTAAACCCTAAACCCTAAACCCGAAACCCTAAACCCTAAACAAGCCTCGCCCCCGTGAGCGACGGTGAATCAATGCTGACAAGGTGACAGTACTTGAAGGGTCATGGGTAAACCCTAAACCCTGAACCCTGAACCCTAAACCCTGACCCCTCCCAACCCTTCTGTATGGACTAGACACCCTCACTCTCGACTCAAGTCTATCGATGCTTGGTATCGTAAATATCTTCGACGTGCGTTAGGCATCAAAGACTCGTATTACTCTCACATCTCCAACCAAAGAGTATGGGTATTAGCTGGTAAGCCAGCACATACCCTGGCTATATACACCGCCCAACGATCCGGTTCACCATGTGGTCTATTCCCCGGGATTTAAGGATAGAGTCAAGTTCACTAAATCTTCGCACAGAGGACATCCGCAAAGATACTGGTTGGACCTTTACACGGAATACGCACTTCCAGTCCTTCAAGAATACATTAGGCTAAACTCCATTTCCACGGAAGATCATCGACAAGACTTCCTAGGCCTTAAGCACCTATTGGCTAAAGACCCCAACTTCCTGTCTTTCCTGGAATCTGCGCCGACGCGCTGCCGCCATTTGTTCAAGAGACACGCCAGAGCTCTTGCATGCGCATGGCTGCCATAAAAAAAACCCTGAACCCTAAACCCCAAACCCCAAACCCTAAACCCCACAGGCGGGCAAGTCAGCTCCACGTCAGTACGTTCAGGTCATCCAGCCACGGCAGATGTACGCGATCGGCTTCTGCGAAGCACTCCTGTGCTGGAGGCAAGAACAGAGCCAGACAATGTCGGGGTTTACGAAAATAAGGGACCCCTGATCTAGATCCCCTAGTAGTGCGATCCCCTTATTCATGGGGAACCGAAAAAGGCACCCCCTAATTTCGGAAACCCCCATGTGTTCTTGGGATGAGACCAGCAGATCATTGTGAACCTCGCGCCAGGCGTTTGGAAACGCCCACACCCGACAGAACTCCAACTCCAGCCGCTTCGGGAAGTTTATCGAGGCCAAAGTGTGGAAGATTCACCATGTTGGCTAGTATATCACGGAACACGTTAATGGCACACACACGATAGGATACGTCGAATCCATGAAAAATGCAGTATACATATAGTACGGTAAACAAATACTGTATAGATAAACAAAGGATCGGTAGAAGCTATATATGTGTTTTGTATGATACATATATATATATATACACATGGGTGGCTGTCAAAAATATAATCCTTTCTGGGGTACCTTAAATATTAAGTGCCGTATTATAATAAGGATCCCGAAAGGGACCATAATTTTGACAACCACCCACATATATATATATATATCTCTCTCTGTAAATGCGTGTGTATTATTGATGCAAAAATATGTATTACACAATATTATACACAATATAGTACAATATGTATGATATATATCTCTCTCTCTATATATATATATATATACAGCATACTTTTTTGTGTATACATGCATACACACCTCTGCATATATGAATTTCCAGTCTCTCTCTCTCATGATGCTTATATATAAGCAGATAGACCCCGTATGTTATTCTTGCAGATTCTTTTAAAATAGACTTTTGTCTGCAGTGCGGGGAATGTGTATATGTGTGTATACATATATATATATATATACATATATATATTTTTTCCTAGATACATGTATATGCAGACAACATCCCCAACCTCGAATAGAAGATCATGAGGATGACCTTCTCACAGGTGCTACGCCGAGCCCAAGAACACTCATGGGTGGTTATCAAAATTATGGTCCCTGTTTAGGTACCGTAAATATTAGGTGCCGTATTGTGAGAGGGATCCAAAAAGGGACCATAATGTTGACAACCACTCAAATTAAGACGCGAAACAGCACACGTTTAGCAAACATCCCGAGTTTGTGCTTTGCTTCTACGCCTTTCCTGGGTTGCACAAATCCACCCACCCAAGAATCCCAAAATGTAAAAATCCAAAACGCCGCCAATGCAAACACCCAAAGAATTCCAAAGCCCAAAATCCCCAGGCTTCCTCCAAAACGCTCCGGAAAGTTTTTTTTTCCAATTCTGAGTATTGGATATTGAGGCATTTGCACATTCGAGATTCCTTCTATGCATTCCCCAATTTTCCAGTAATGTCACCAATAAGAGGGCTACCTGTCAGATGTGCCCTTATCAGAATTTCATTAACGTACTAGCTGCTCGAACGTAAAACGCTGCTTAATGGGATCACTCGCGCATTCAATCAAAATTGAACATAGGCTTTCTGTGTATGAAAATCCTGTAAAAGTCTCAGTTAATCCGTTGAAAAAGCATGTTCACGTGTCATGCACAGGCCCTTTTGTTAGTGAGGTGTTAACAGCAAAAGCATACTTGTTAGTACAACCTTTGTGCGGACGTTAACAGAAGCTGAAGAATCATTGCTCAAAATGAACCATTCTGGGATCCTAGCAACTGCCATTTTAAGAAGTGTCTGTCCCATGAATGTCCTTACCTTTCGATAGCAAGTGCTTCGGATTAGAATAGACCCTACCATACTCTCCTTAACGTCTCAACAACTCGAAGGAAGGCGGCATTATTGAGATCCTGAATAGCCTCTTCAAAAAGCCGATACGATTTCGAATAGAAACATTCACAGAAATTAGTCGCATCAGGGACTAGTGAAGTGTACAGACTTGCAACGAGTTCCTTCCTTGTTTGTATACGCTTCTCACCCTAAACCCTCAACGCCAAACCCTAAACCCTACACCCTACACCCTATACCCTAAACCCTAAACCCTATACTAAACAGACGTCTGAGAGGTCAGGAGGCTGTTGTAGGAGTCCCTCCCTCCCTCCCTCCCTCCGCCTCTCCTCTTGCTGCCCATCGAAACAACCCAAGTTTCCAAACTAGAAATCCGAAATCCCAAAGCAAGTCGCCAAAAATTTTCGAACAAGAGCCCATAAAAGGGCGACGGGCGGGGGGGGGGGGGGGGGGGGGGGGGGATGGGGGGGGGGGGATTGGGGGGGGGGGTGGGGGGGGGGGGGTTGGGGGGTGGGGTCGCAGTCTTGGGGAATGAGTGTTGAAGGAAAGGCTATACCCCTTCTCCTTTTGGATAAATCAGATAGCAAAAAGCACAAGTCAATTCTGGTTTGGTGCCTCCTGGGCTTCAGATCCCCAAATCCAACTTTCCCGGAAGAAGCTGCGGGAAGTGCGGCTTGCAGGGTTCTGTTGATTTTCTAAGTTGTCTATTGGGATGCTCGCCCTTATACCAACCGTCTCTAATAGAGATTCTAAGACGGGGGCACTATAATCCCTATTCAGGAGGACTGTTAGGGGGAACATCCCAGGTTTTCTAGATTTTTTATAGCATTCCAGGCTGGTCCAAGGGGGGGGAGCTTCCATAGATATGCGTATTTCAAAGCCCTAAACCCTGAACCCTAGGCCGTTCCACTATGCAACTGGGGAAGTTCCCCCTTTTACTAACAGTCCTTAAGCGGGATTGTAATCGGGGACACGGTAATCCCTATTAAGGACTGTATAAGGGGGAACATCCCACGATAAAGCTGATAGCCCTAAACCCTAAACCCTAAACCCTAAACCCTAAACCCCAAGCCCCTAAGCCCTAAGCCGTTTTACTATATCAAGCTGATGGTCTCTTGGGCTGTGCTGACAGGTACACCTGGCAGAAGGTAAACCTAAACCCTAAACCCTAAACCCTAAACCCTAAACCCTAAACCCTAAACCCTAAAACCCCAAACCTTAAACCCGAAACCCTTAACCCTGAAACC